CTGCCCTCGTTTCTGAGGCTGAATCCAGCCACCCTCCAGAGGAAGCTCTTGTTCCTGACCTTGTTCTGTGTTGTCATAGCTGAGGGTTGAAACACAGAAGAGGAGGATGCTGAGCTGAACAAATAAAAGTGATGGCGTGCATTTTCCCTGGTGATATGGGGCAGTACGTACGTAAATCATTGTAAGCAAGTGTTATTTTGTGTTTGAGCAAGACCCTACCAACGGATGGCCATTAGGGTCAAAAATCCCTGGGAGTGAACGAACACTTTGTCAGATCGTTCAACCTTCAGCAAAATGACACACATCAGACTCGCTTTCATCACTGGCAATGAGTGAAGAGGTGAATGTGAAAAACAATGTTTATGAGTGGGTGAAAATGTAACCGCTTGTTACAAATCAGTAAATGTGTTTTGTTCTCACGGCCTCACGTGGAAGGAAACATAGCGCCTAACATGGCATCACCCAGAGACTAACCCACGCTGCACACTGGTAGCATCAGTGGCGCGGAACGAGAGCGGAATGGTTTCTTTGCAACAATCGTTGCACTGCAGTGCACACTGAGAGAGTCTCAGCCGGTTGTCCAGTAATCGGAAGGTTGCAGGTTCGATCCTGGATCTGCCCAGATAATGCTGCTGTTGGGCGAGACACAACCTGCCTTGCTGGTGGTGGTCGGAGGGACCGGTGGCGCCAGTGTTCAGCAGTCTCGCCTCTGTCGGTGCGACACGGGGCAGCTGTGGCTACACCGTAGCTCATCCCCACCAGCGTGTGAATGGTTGAGTGACTGATTGTGTTGTGAAGGGCCTTGGGGGGTTGTAGAACCCTAAGAAGGCACTATACAAATGCTGGCCATTCACTAAAAATGAAATTGTATCACTGTAATAGACTTTTATTTTGAAAATTACTGGGTACACTGAAACCGTGTGTGATTTCCTGTCTAGCCCTATGTTAACTGTGGAAATTGGCGTGTCCCAGAAGTGGCTTGCGAAAAAAACAGAACCCGATCCTATCTTTAGCGGCGCGGCGTGCCGCTTCTGGGAGAAGCGTGTCGCGGCTGGTTTGAATCACCCCCATAGACTATAATGAATTCTGTTAGAAGCAGCGATGCTTCGCTGTCGTTCCACGCCACTGATGCTTCCAGTGTGCAGTAGGCTTAAGACCCGATCCTGTGTATTTTAGACCTGAATTTATGGTTAAATGTTGTGAAGCCGCCAATATTTTACAACAACTGGGCATCATTTAATTAATTTTCAACAACATTGTGATGGATATTTCTATAGATTAATGGTAAAACTACACATTGTCTCCTTATAGAAAAATTGATGCTGGTTTCTCATTAACACCAGATTTTACACAAGTAGACCTCTAGTGTTCAGCTTCACTGACTTGATCCAGAATCTTTCAAGACGGCAGCTGCGGTGACTGACCCCGGGTTTCCACGGGAGCCGTCAGCAGCACGTTACTGCAGCAGCACGTCTTGCTCGCGTAAGCTGCTGCTTGGCCCTTCCCACGAGACGCGAAGCAGCAGGGGAGCAGCTGTCACCGACAGAGCACGAAGTCACACGAGTGACTTCGTCAGTAAACACAACAACAAGCAGGAGAAAACTACAACATGGTTTGTGTTTTATGTTCTGTCCGTTTTATAATCGCCAATACGGACCTGAAAAACAAAGGAGACCGCTAGCTAGGTGATAACTTCTCACGGGGACGCACAGTTAGTAACATTTTTTAAAATTAAAAGAAAAGTAAAGGTTCTGTTGACCACAGCGGTTCCTATCAGCAGCTATGAAGTGCTGCTGCAGTAACGTGCTGCTGACGGCTCCCGTGGAAAGCCGGGGTAACTGAAAGAAAAAAAATGTAAGAAATAGAGAATTTTCATTTGCACCAAAGTTTCTCCTTGCAGCACTTTTCCTGTGTCAAAGCTGCAAATAAACTGTGGCATCTACATTTGTGCAGATTTTGTTGTAGCTTTGTTGAATTATGCTCAAATTTCGTAACTATTTTTATTCAAGCTTTGTTGGCAGAATGTCCGACTTAGTTTTGTCTTTAGTAGTATCGCTTTCATCATGATATCATCTGCAAAGAAACAAAAGTGACAAAGGGTTGCAGAAATTTGTTCCCAGTCCTCAAGGCTCAGCGAAAAAGAATGAATCATTAAATTTTTGACCTGCATCATGTTGATAAATCTCCAAAGCCAGATAACTCAGTTTTTACTCCTGCGTAGAGAAGATGTTCCATAACTCTGGCTAAGTACTTGCTCCATCTGTTTTAAAGCAGTAAGTCTGTCCTGTTCGTGGAGAAGGTGAGAAGGTCTGACAAACCCTCAGCCTTGTGTTGTGCTGCTGTCAGAAAAGGTGAGTCGAGTTGTCAGTCACAACAAAGTCCACCTCCTACCAACAATCTATTAGCTGACACCTTTGCCTCATTCTTCACTGACAAAGTGGCAGCTATAAGCAAACAGTTTACTCAACTGGCCACTCCTGAACATTCACTACCACAAACCCCTTCTAGCCCAACCATCTCAAGCCCTACTGCTTCATTTCCTCTTTTTCCCCCTCTCACTGAGAACTGTGTGTCCAAGCTTCTCACGTGCAGCCACCCTACTACATGCCCACATGACCCCATTCCAACTAAGCTGCTCCAAGCTATTGCTCCTACAGTAGCTGCAGCAGTCACACATGTAATCAACGCTTCACTGACATCCGGTACATTTCCCACCTCTCTCAAGCATGCTCAGGTTAAACCGCTGCTAAAATAACCATCTCTTCTTCCAAATCATGTGGAGAACTACCGACCTATCTCTCTCCTCCATTTTCTGTCCAAAATCATTGAAAGGGTGGCTTTCAAGCAGATCACACAGTACCTCTCACAAAACTGTCTGCTTGACTCTTACCAATCTGGGTTCAAAGAGGGCCACTCCACTGAAACTGCTCTGTTAGCAGTGACGGAATCCTTAAAAGAAGCTAGAGCAACAGGCAAATCCTCAGTGCTTATCCTGCTCGACTTATTGGCTGCATTTGACACTGTCAACCATGGCTTCCTTTTGTCCACACTCTCTACCATGGGCATCACAGAGAAAGCACACGCCTGGTTTGGAATCGTACCTCAAAGGACGATCATTCAGTGTATCTTGGCTTGGACAACCCTCTACCGTGTACCATCTTGCCACAGGAGTCCCCCCCTAGGACCTCTTCTCTTTGCCATATACACCACCTCACTGGGTGAGATCATTCGATCACATGGCTTCTCCTACCACTGCTATGCAGACGACACCCAGCTCTTTTTGTCATTTACACCGGACGACCACACTGTCTCTGCACGAATATCAAACTGTCTCTCTAACATATCAAAATGGATGAAATCCCACCATCTCCAACTCAACCTCTCTAAAACTGAACTACTTGTCATCCCAGCAAAACCATCCATACAGCACAATATCTCAATCCAAAATGACTTCCTATCTCTGGCTCCTTCAAAGGCAGTTCAAAATCTGGGTGTTGTGATTGATGAACACCTGACCTTTAAAGATCATGTTACCTCTGTTGCTCGTTCATGCCGCTTTGCACTGTATAGCATACGAAAGATCAGACCATACCTAACACAACATGCCACCCAGCTCCTGGTACAATCTACTGTAATCTCCCGCCTCGATTACTGCAATGTCCTTCTAACTGGTCTTCCAGCCTGCACTGTGAGACCTCTTCTAATGGTCCAGAACGCAGCGGCGCATCTGGTCTTCAATCAGCCAAAAAAGAGCACACGTCACCCCTCTGTTCATTGAGCCCCACTGGCTACCGCTAGCTGCACACATCTTATTCAAATTGCTAACACTAGCACACAATGTCCGAGAAGGTACGGCTCCCATCTACCTGAATCCTCTTGCAAAGGCTTACGTTTCGGCCCGGGCGCTCCGGTCATCACAGGATCGTCAGCTAGCAGTGCCTACACCACGCTCAGGACAATCTAGACTTTTTCTAATGCTTTGTTCCACAAATGTGGAATGACCTACCAAGCACTACCAGAACAGGGGCTTCCTTTTCGACTTTCAAGAAACTCCTGAAGACCCTGCTCTTCAGAGAGCATCTTCTTAACTAGCACCCTCCCTACACCCGTCCCCCTCTCTACTGTCCACTCCTTGTTCCCGCCTCTCCATGATTCATCATGCTGCCTCACTGCCACCTACGACTGACTGGAAATTGGTTTTTGTTGTTGTTGTAATTGTTGTTGTTAGCCTCAAGGGCAACATGCCGATTATCACTTGTAAGTCGCTTTGGACAAAAGTATCTGCTAAATACATAAATATAAACATAAACAAGTCAAAGGAGGTTCATGAGGAAATGGAGCAGCCTTGAGAAGAGCGGTCTCTGAAGGACCAGAAAACCTGGCAAACAAACATCTTTTGGTACAAAAACTACATTAAGAACCACAATTCAATCTGTAAGATTACACCACAGTGAAGTTCGTGAACACGAAGCATCTAGAAGTTTTAAAGCGGAGTGTTGACTTTGTCTGAAACAACCCAGTTCACAGTGAGCTCCATAGCCACGAAGATGCAGTGGCACACAGAGGGTGTTTAATGCTGAGGTTTATAATATAATTTGACTCTGCAGGTCTGGGATGTTGGTCTGAGCCACAGAGCTCTCTGTGCTACTTTAATATTTTAAAACGCTGCTGGAGCTCATCAGCCTGTTGGAGCCCGGTGTCATTACCAGCTGCTGAAAACGAAGCATGACACATTTCCCAAGGGTTCCCACTTAACAAAGCTTTCAATTGGCTTTGACAAGCTGCTGTGGAGAACTGGTATTGGCTGACCTAGCACTCAGACAGAAGGCCAGAGGAAAAAGAAGAGCAAGTCCTACTGGGCTCTATCCTGTAGTGTCCTATGTACTAAATTAAAGTTTATAATTCTCCGCGGTGCCGTTCTGCTGCAGTGTCGCTGCCTGCCAGGTCTCCCTGTAATTTGATGTCTTTGTTCTTGTTTGTTTGTGTGTGTGTTGCTGCAGACTGCTCAGTGTGCTCTGCTGCTGTCTGGACTCCTTCCTGCTGCTGGAGAGCCAATATAACATCTGCTCCATGCTGCTGCAGAACCAGAGGGGGAACGTCTCTGACCAGGACGCCAGCGAAGGGTAAGAAGTCAGGTGAACACCTGAAACCATTACACCCAAGTCACAAAGCATTTAAAAGAGCTTCTTCTTTAAAGTCTACATCTATAGGAGAGAGAGAGCGAGAGAACTACGTAGCTGGCTCTCTGAAAAGGTCAGATGCTTTTCTAAAGGTTTCAGCTCATATAAAAGTTTAGAGTCGTCCAATTGGAGCAAGTCTTGGGTTTGGGGGAAGCCTTTTAAGACTTAGAGAAGTATCAGTGGGTTAGCCCTCGCTCTTTGTTTCCTGCTGACTGACTGATCATGTTTCACCCTGATGTGATGGAACCCTGACATTTAATCATCTCTCAAGCTGAGAAATTGTTTGCCTTGTCAAACAAACAAGGAAATAAGGCGTAAAGAATGTGAAAAGACCGTTTTGTAAAGTGTGCTGGTAATGGCAGGCGCTGCCTTTTGGTGAGGAATGGAAATGGCCCTGAAATGCCCTCTCACATCACATGTCGGAGTGGCGCCGGCTCTACTTTGGAGAATGATGACTCGCTCTTTTTTCCTTCCATTTCCTGCACCCTCTTCTTTGAATAATCCCCGTCATTGTTGCATCACCTTTTCTTTGCATTGTACCCTGTTCTCTCTCTCTCTCTCTCTCTCTCTCTCTCTCTCTCTCCCCCCTCTCTTTTGACCACTCAGACTCCTAGTTTTAGCACCTAGACTTTGCCTTTTTTCTTATTCATCCTTTCTTTCACTTGATCACCAAAACTTACATTAGAGCCATGAAAACTCCACGTTTTTCCTGTGTTTAACGTGTCATGGCTGCCTGGTCTTTGGAAAGAGAATTGTACAAGAAACAGTTCCTTTAATCTTTTCCACGTTGAAACTGTCTCAGGTATAAGAGCTATCTACTCACACCGACGCCCTTCAGTCCTAAAGTACTATTTGTAATTGGAACCGTATTTGACCTTATCTAATTTTCCCAGTTTCCTCACAGCAGCGATACACTCGTAGTCATCTAGAGGCTTCAAACGCCATTTAATGGCTTTTAAATCACTTTATTCATGACTGAAAGTTTTTCATTTCATTGACCTTGTCCTCCAAAACATTTCTGTTGCTGCATATTCCGTTATTACATTTGGATCAAAGCAATCAGATGTTTTTAATGCGTTGTCCTTTCAAGGTCCTTTGCTGCTATATTGAAGGAAAATTCCCTTTATTATCCGTATTTTCACACTTTTGTTTAACTTCCAGTCTCCGTTATTAAAATAAAGGCTAATTAAACAATCTCCCTTCTTTCTTCTCAGAGCGATCATCATAGACGGTCTGTCTGTGGAGAGGAATCACGTGTTGGTCCGTGTTAGCGTGGTGGGAGGCCCGTCTGAGAGGAGGCTTCCTCCTCGAGCCCTGGAGGAGGTCCGCTTCATTTTTACTTCCTAGTCTTCAGCAGGTTACATTTTCCTTCTGACTAAAACGTTTTCCAGTTCCTGTTGAGTCATCTTTGGAACATTCCAGTCATCCTGATGAATTGTGTGTCTCTCAGTGTTTTATTCTGTTTTTTTTCTACGAATCTGCTCCATAAGGGCAGAATCAAGGCTTTACTGAAGCTAAATGTGAGAAAAAGCAACATTTCTTCCAGTAAAAAGCCTTCTGTGCTTGTCTTTGCTCTTTTTTCAGTCCACTAATTGTCTCACTTATTTTAGAACAGACTGCGAATCTCTCAGGATGCTTGTATTTCTGCTTAGTTTATTCGTACATCAAATCAAGGCTTTATCCCAGTTTCTGTGAAATGTGGCACAACCGTCTCCTTTGAGTTTACTTTTGGGACTCCAAACATTTATTTATCCACAAACCAAACACTGATGCTCTAAATGTTGATTTCTGAGGATAAACGTCAGTGACTTATTATAAAAAACACATTTAAATGGCAGCTTGTTGCCAAGTCATAGTGTTGCTTTTGATTAATCTGCTAACAGTTGATCCTTCAGTCAGATTACAGCTGTCCAAGCTTAAACTCGTTTTATATTCTGCACGTGTCGTGTTTGATAGCTGACTGGTTTCCAGCACGGCCTCGGCCATCGTTCGAAGCATCCGTCCTTATTTATTCAGGATGTTAATGGATTGGCATCAATTATTTAGTTATTATTTATGCTGAGCCTCAAACAGGAACTGATTTATGCTGAGCATTTCTGGAGGGAGGGGGAGTGTAAATGAGTTCAGAGTGTTTCCTACTGAAATTCCCTTTTTCTGTTAAATCAGCAAAAGAAAGCAGAGAGATGTGAATCCTAACAGATAGGATGGTCCGGTTTATTTGACCTCATTGAGCTTTTAAACTTTATCCAACTTAAATAAGAAGTTCAGTCAAAAGGAACAGGTAGTTTTTTTGTAGAGAAGATCTGTAAAAGAGGGTCTCACACCTTGATAGATTAGTTGGTTTTTGGTCTTAAAAATACATGTTTGTCCGTTATCAGCAACACGAATAATGTCACTCTGTCTTCAGTCAAAATGTAGGAATGATTCTCACAAATCTGCTTTGTATAAAGTCAGTGAGGGTTTGTGGTTGGTTTACTATGAAAATAAATGGAGTCTTAACCTCTCCCATTCTAAAAGCATTTGAATTAACTGGAAGTTTCTAAAGTTTCTGTCTGGATCAACTTTTTGCTGGAGAGAAGAAATCCTAATATTCTTAGTCTCTACATTTGACCCGTCCCTGTGGGGAGCGGTGAGCTGCAGCAGTGGCTGCGCTCGGGAACTATTTGGTGCTTAACCTGTTGCAGAGCAACAGTTGGCGGTAGAGTCATGTTGTCAATAGCCAATCAGAGGTGTGATGTCCAAAAATCAGGAAACAAGACTCTTAAATCCTGCCGTGTTCTGCCACTTTCTCCTGACTTCTGTTCCCCAGAGAACGACTTAAAAGGCATTTATTCCTGCTAGAGACCACTGCAAATGTATTAAAATATGAGTAAAGTGTCAACTTCACACATACACTGTAAGCTATTGATTTCAAACTGGTTTCAGTGGTTCTTGAACCAGTGAGCCACTTCACATGGGACAGCCCGAAGCTGCACTAAACAGCTTTGGTGGTTTGGAGTTGGGACAGGCGGTAGTGGGAGGTGTCTACCATCGACATCTCTACTCTACCTCTATATGTCGCTACCTGCTCTACAGCAACAGCTGATAGGCGGAGCAACAGTGGGTGGAGTTTACTGTGCTGGTAGCTCATATAAATGCTAGCAGTTTCCTTTTTCAAGTAGCAAAGCAGAGCATGGCAAAAATCTGGGACCTTTTTCCAGTGGCCCTAATCCTCTTCCGTAGATCCTTATCAGAAATCCTACGTTGTCTAAAGGTGCTGGAACAGTTGGGGCTCTAAACTAGTTTTATTGAGTTGAACTGAGGAGATTACGGCTCGTTTCCTTAAACGTTCCTGATCCCCTTATAAATAAAGCTTTGATTGATTGATTGATCCCTGTTATACCTATAGCCTCTTTATGATGCCTAAATCTAAGGAAGTCCTCATTAATTCTGCTCAGCTGCAATTGGTTTGAAACCCTCTCAGTCTGTCTGATCACACGTGTACCAGACACATAAATGTTTGAGTGAATACAAAATAACTCATCATTTATGATGACAGCAGTATTTCAAACCCGTGTTTTCCTCCCGCTGGTTTGTTCCAAACTTTGAGTTGATGTTTTAAAAAACAAAAACATTTATTCTCACAGTTTGGCAGGAGCCTTATCTGCTGCTCGTACTGTAAACAAAACTCAGGATATCCCCCAGCGTGCATTAATTCATCTCCACCAAGGATCTCCTGGTGTGGAACGCTTACAGTACAAGTGTATTAACTAACCTCAGAATCATACGGGCATGTTAACAATGATTAGCTGATGAGTTTGACCGTTTCCTCCTCAGGGGTGCCGCTGGAGTCCACCTACACACCCACAGCCCCTCCTCAGTCGTGCTTCTTTAGGATGAGATGCTAAACGAGACGTTTGTGTTGATGTGAGCGTGACTGAACTCGTTCCTCTTCGTTAGCCGTGATCGACAGGCGAACTGTCCCAACGCATCACCAACCACCTTCCGAATAATAAACAGGGACGTCTTATTTTTCAGAATGTGAAAATGGTGAAAAGAAGTCAGATGTGTCACACAGCTCACAGAAACCATTACTTTTCCTGAAGATGCATAAAAAATGTACGTAGCTCCCTACATTTATCTCATTCCAACTCTCAGAGAATCGCATCATCACATGATAAACAGCTGGGTGAAGAAGCTGCTTTCTAAACTTCATTACCGTTTAGAGCAGATTATTTTTGCTAAATCACACGCTGAGCTGACTAAAAAGCAAAAATAACTCCTGACGTGACTGATGAGAGGCTGCGGGTTGCAAAGAGAGGAATGAAGAAAGCAAGAATATAAACAACTATTTGAACTTGTGGCGCATAAGAAGGGCTCAATAGTGAAGTAATTGTCGACCAGCTGATTTTGGTTTCTGGGCTTTTAAAATGTGTTTAGGAACAGAAAAGAGTCCTAATGGTTATCCGATCACAACAACAAAGAAACTAATCACAGGAAGTAATGCAAATGATACGAGTCCTCCAGGTTAGGAAAGGGCGAGTTTTACTTGTATGTTTGTGATTTTCTAACTATCTGATTGCTCATTGGATGCAGGGAGAGCATCCTTACCCCTGGCCGATGTTCGTCAGCCAGCACCTCCCTCTCTGCTACGTTGTGAGTCCACAGGACTTCCACGACGACTCACAGGGTGAGAAAAACATGACGTGTTTTAGTTTCTGTCAGCTAAACACTGAATTTATTTGATGATCTGAGCTTGAATGTAACTGGCTTTAAAGGGGACGTACTACACGTCTTTTTAAAACAAGCAGCTCCATTCTTGACAGTTTCAGTACCCTCCAGAATGAGCCGTTTCAGGGCTCTGTCGCTTTAAAAGCTGCAGCTGGCCACAGCCACACACCTGGGAGTGGCTAAGGGTAGAGCTGCTGCTTCTCCAGCATCGACTGGTGAGGTGGGGTTCTACGCTAATGTCTCTCATGATGATGTCAAAATATGAGGGACTTCTTCAAACATAGAAGCCAAACTATGGCAGAAAACAGGTGGATAGTTTTTATTTACAGTTGGAGTGTTTAGAGGCAGTAGAGACCCATAATATGCCCTGAAGAACAGAAAGGAGCTGAACTTTTATTAAGCCTGAATCTTTTCTGCTTCTACAGACTGTGAGATCGGTGCTTTTCTGGCTTCATCAAGCGAACCAAACAGCGAAGACAATTGGTTGGAAGTCTGCCGGAAAAAGTTCTGCAAAGCACTGCTATCAAAACCAAACACGCTAACTGGCGGTGGTAAGTTACCGGATCTCTCTAGGGGTTTTCCAGCTACGGATGCCAACGCATAAACTGTTCTGTTTGTGATTCTGTCACATTTTTCCTGTTTTCTCAACCTGCACCGTTGAAACCAAACCTACGAAATCTACACCTCAGTGTGGAGTTTAGTCAGGAGTGCTGTGATCGTTGGCAGTGGTACTTCATGCAAAGCAAAAGAAAAAAACTCCAGAAATGTTCCAATTCAGTTTTCAGTCATGTGACCAACTCGCCACATCGGCGTGTGATGCATTCCTCCATCATGGCGGTCAATAATGAACAGTTCATCTGACAGCTCCACGTGGCAGAGACCATTAACGAGTTCATTTCAACCATCTACAACAACTTAACCACCATTTGTTTACTTTATCCGGAGTTGAATCATGAATCTTGTTCAACAGTTTCTTTAATACTTAAACTTTTATCCAAACGCTGTTCTTCTATAATTCAGCTTTTTGATGCTTGATTAAAAATGTTGATGAGTTCATATAAAAATGCTTCCAAGCACCAAATGCATTGGTGGCACAGGAGTTAAGTGCTCGCCCCGTAATTGGAAGGTTGCAGGTTCGAGCCCCGCTCAGTCTGTCGCTGTCGTTGTGTCCTTGGGCAAGACACTTAACCCACGTTGCCTGCTGGTGGTGGTCGGAGGGACCGGTGGCGCCGGTGCTCGGCAGCCTCGCCTCTGTCAGTGCGCCCCAGGGCAGCTGTGGCTACATTGTAGCTCATCCCCTCCAGTGTGTGAATGGGTGAATGACTGGTTGTGTTGTAAAGCGCCTTGGGGGGTTTCAGGACTCTAGAAGGCGCTATATCAAATACAGGCCATTTACCATTTACCATTATTTTATGACCTTTATTAAAATATTCACAGGGGAAGAAAAGTTAATCAAATTCAGGGTTTATTTTTATGGTATTATCTAAATATTTAGAATTTGTTCAGAAATCTTAATAATTTTCCCTAATTTGAGTAAAATAGTTGAATGTTGTATTTTTTCCTTCCTAATAGTAAAAGCCTGGGCTAACTGCAGGAGTTTCATTTACTTTGTTTAACTTGTGAATAATGAGTCATGCTTTTTGTGACGTATTAAAGCTTGGAGGTGGTTTAACGGGAACAATGAGAGCTCCTGCACACAGACGGGTGTTTATAAAAATGCATTTACAGCGACGCCTCCCTCCGGTGTGTGAGAGCTAAATGATCACACACGTCCTAAAAGCAGAGAACCGTCAAGTCTATGTCATTTTCTACAGACACACTCTCCTCCACCAAGATCACAGAAATTTAAACTTGTTCCTTTTTTGATGCCTCATCATGGTGGATCTGGAGCTGCTCACTCTTCTGCTACAGGAGTAAATCGCTGTGATTGAAGGAAGACAAAAATACGATGAGAGCCTGATTATGTCCTTTCATCAGAACACCGTTGGAAGTGCCTACAGAAGCACCCACTCGACTCATTTGATGCTTTTCAGTGAAAAACCATCACCACTGATTATGTTTTAAGCTTCCTCCACAGTGGAAAAGCTGTTTATTAACTACATGAAATCTGTCTTCTTTAGAAAAGTTCAGTTAAAGAAAATTGTTGCATTTCTAACCAGATTTGTGAGATTATTTGTTTTTATTCTCCGTTCATCTGGAAGACTTTATCATCTCTCTCCGTCGGAGCGGTTTATCTCGTCGGTTATTGATCTGCTAACTGATCTCCAGCGATGAGGTTCATTCACCCGTGACTCCTGCTCATGGTTGTGATAATCACCTCCTGTTTTCTAAACAGGAGGTGATTATCTAAACAACTCAGAGAAATCAAAATAAATCTGCATTTGCAAAATGTTCGTTTTCACAAAAGTGAGCTGGATAGATTTAAATCTGTAGGACCAAAGTGCACCTGCGTCCCAGAGCAGGCTGGTTGGGATGCTTTTTATTTGTTGAGTTTCAAACATAAACTAATAAAAAACAACAAAAGTACACGTAGTTTAACCTTTAAGTACACCTAAGTGAACCATCTTATGGGTTTTGTGAATTGACCCAAAGCTCCTTTTTAACGTGTCCTAAAGCGTTTTTATTCATTTAAATAAGTTATTTAACAAAGAACTGACTAACAGATGTTATTAATTATGTGTGTGGTTGTTCTCCACAGTGCTGGCTGACCTTCTGGAGGAAGCCGTGTCTCGTCTGTCCAGCTCTGCATCAGAATGCTTCTTCTCTGCAGCTCGGTACAAAGGTCAGAGAGAAACACATTCATGGGTTTGTTTTCTCTCTTCTCAGCGTCGTCAAACCGAAATAACTAAAGGCCACTACTGGGTGGATCAGATCAGTGGTGTTAGCAGGATCTGCTTGTGAAAATCCCATCAAATAAGGAGTTTAGCTTGTTTTTTTTTTTTTTTTGTCTAAAAAACAGTAGATTAATGATATGAATGCACTTTTTTCTGCAATATCTAAAATGTGCTTCTGTTGTTCTGAGATCCTTACGGAGAGGAAAGACCTGCTATGGAAATAATGCAGATTTCTAGCTGCAGTCAGACTGAATTGGGTGAATATTGCAACATTTGTGCAGATTTTCTTGTGATTTACTCATCGGGTTAGGGTTAGGAGCTCTTGGCTGACAAGGCTCTTTGGCTTCGACCAGGAAAAAAAAACTAGAAACTACAAATTTTTTCTCTAAATTTGCTCACAATTCACATTTGTCATTTTAAACATCGTCAAAAGTTCAGCATCACTACAGCGAGGCCCTCATTGCTCACAGGAGAAAACTGGGAATCCTCATTTGGGAAAAATCTGTTAGCACGTCGGCACAAATGGTCGCGTGATCCTCTGATTCTGGCTCCGGTGGTCGGGTATCAGGTGAACAATGAAACCAGCCCCTTGTTGTGGCGGGGAGGGGTAGAGAAAAACAGTATCTGGTATTGGTCATAGCTGCAGCACCACCCTCATGGTTCACTCAGCTTTAGGTGCATTTTTCAAACAGGAAGTGTGGGCGGAGTTAGACTCTGGTAGGGGGTGACTTGCTCTTTAATGTCCTGAAACGCAGTAAATTCTCACAAATGCAAAAATAAACATCAGAAAGTTTCACAAACAACATAACGATTCAGCTTGACTGTAAAACAGCTTTTTAAACATTTAATGAATTTAATTTAAGTGATTTTATTACTGAAATGATGAAAACCAACAAAGTTATTTAGTACTTGTTGAGGAAAATAGGTAGGAAAACTACTAAAACTGCGCTTAATACTCAAATGAAATCTAAATATTACTTGTTTGTCAGTTCTGGTCGAAGCCAAAGAGCCTTGTCAGCCAAGAGCTCCTAACCCTAACCCGATGAGTCGAATCCATCTGGACTACAGAGAAAATCAACTTAAACAGTTTCATCAAAACGAGTCGTTTCTTAAATTAAAGAAATGAAAAGTGTCTGCAGTTTGACTTGTTTTGTAGCCTGGAGGCTAAACAAACTTATCACACTGATGGGAGACAGAAAAACATCTAATTAGTCTGAAAAATGCTGTAGACTGTAAATGACCCCTAATGTAAAGTAGTAATTTATCCTACTGAACGTATGGTTGTACAACGTGTCGTTAAGGAGGCATCATGCTTTATACATGAGGAACAAAAAAACCTTTTGTTTCTCCGCATCAATATTAAACCTGGAGATCATGTTTATTTGAAGTTTAGGTTTCTGAGCTGCAGGAGGCCTAAACAGGAGAAAAATGTGAGCAATTTCCTGCATCAGATTAATTCTAAAGGCTGCACGCATTAGTGGGTGTGGTGTTGTGGGTAGTGTACGCTCGTCTTTGTCTTAAATGATCCCACGGCCATAACTCTTCTTCAGTGAGCCCTCGCATTCTGCAGGATTCATCATTTCCAACATTACTTTTTACATTCATCTGCAGAATGTAATTGTAGGACGTCCAGGGACTGCGTCAGGGTGAAGCTGCTGATATTACTCCTCATTATTTTAGCAGGATACTCCGAACAGGTGGGAACGCTGCCTCTTTGTTCCATCGCTTAATATTTGTCATTATAGTTATTGCAAATTGTAAAATAGACTCTGGGGCACGGTGCTGTAGAAAAGAAAGAGGAAATAAAGAAACGGAGGGCTTATCTTTATTAGACTGTAATTGCTCTCAGCATGAGGCTCTTAGAGGTGTTACTATGTAAGGAGAGAAGAAATAACAGTCTAGTTGTCCTCTTAGCCACACGGTTAAACGTGTTGAATTATCTCTGATATTTAAATTACAGGAAACGCTTCACCACTTCATTTATAGTGTTTTTGGAGCGTTTCGTAACTTTTATTTGAGTTCCCCCCTCTCCATCACCGGCGCCGGGGCGATTTGCTCATAATTGTTAAATTCTTCTCATCGTCCCACCATAAAGCGTCTGAAGCGGGGATTCATCTGTAATATTCTGTTTCCTCAAGCGAGGATGCGGCAGAGCCACCTTCCAAATGAACATGTCAGTTATTGCTTCATTCACTGAAAAACTCAGCATGATTGCTCTTTCATTCCCCAAAACTAATATAGTCTAATGATTCTGCACAAATAATGATGAGGGTGTGTGTGTGTGTGTGTGTGTGTGTGTGTGTGTGTGTGTGTGTGTGTGCGCGCGTCGTGTCTCCCCGTTGAAAGCATCTCCGCCTGTAAGGAAATGAGCCACTGATTTTAAAATCCTGTTATTTGTATTTTCCTAAAAACCTGCCATGTCTGTGAAATCAGAATTTGGACGCTGCATCACAAAGCGTGGGACGGAGCTGTGAAATTACCCGTGAATGGCTGTTGGTGAAATGACCAGAGTCACCTTGACACCTTGCGTCCTCACAAACATCACAGCCAAACGACACCTCCAAGCTGCAAAGTACAAACTAGTTTAGACGTGCCGTCAGCTCCGCGCTGCTGCGAAAGAGGAAATTCATAATTTGCTGTCATGTTTTTTCTATTCCACCTGCTCAAACTGCTGTTGGAGGAAAACGTTTCTCTCAAATCTCTGGCAGAGGTTCGATCCTCTCATGTTGTTTTAATCTTGTCGTTCTGCAGGAGACGAGAACCTGGAGAACGTTGTTCTGTCGCCTGTGGAGCTGCTAGGAATCGACGTCTGTGTCAGGTAAAGCAGAGGTTTCTGCAGCTCTAACGTGTTTATTTCATCACACACGGTCACCTGCGTTCAGTAGGAGACTCAGAATGTTGAGAAAAGGTTCAAGTTTCAGCTGGAATAGAACAGAAGTGGTCCTGATGCTGTTGATGAGCGTTTAAATATGGTGAGGATGTGTGTTTTCCTACTGTGAAGGGGGTGGGCAGTACATACCTAAATCCCTGCAAGCAAGCAGCATTTTTGTGTTTGAGTAAGACCTTCCCAACGGATGCCCATTAGGGTCAAAACTCCCGTGAGTGCAACCTCCAGCAAAACAACAAACACATCAGACTCCCTTTATTACTGGTGAAGAGGCAAATGTGGAAAACATCGTTTCTGAGTGGTGAAAGTTTTCTGTTACAAATCAGTAAATGCCTTTTGTCCTCACAGGCACCCATAGAAGGAGACATAGTGTCTAATGTGGCGTGCCCCTTAGACCCCTCCATGTTGTTAGGCTAGATTTTTTATGGTGATTTGATACGAAGCTGCCAATGTTTCAACAACTGGGCTTCATAAATTCATTTTCATCAACACTTTGATGTTTTCCAGAGACTAAAGGTGAAAACGTCACATCTTTAGTTGTTTACAGTTTACATCACCCCCTTTGGAAGTCGTTTCACGTTTTACACAACATGACTCGGCGAGTCTGAGTAAAGTAGTTGACTCGAGCACGCTGGAGCTGGAGATCCAGAGCAGCAACCTGTGCTGTTGCCTGAATCTGAGTCTGTTTAGGTTTGTTCTCAGTTCAGCCGGACTGATCTGAGGCAGAAACACTCGACTTTCCTTCAGCGGTGAGTTTAGAGCTCCAGCTCTTCTGTGATGTTAGCGCAGTTGTTGTCGTCCCTGTAGAGGAGACTTGTGTTGCATTATAGATGAGCTTTTCCTTTCAGCTGCAGACGGATGTTTGTTTTGTGATGTCAGCGGTGATGATGGAGCAGCGTAGAGACATAAATCACACGTTAGACCTGCTGGTCACGCTTCTGAAGAGTCCTCCTGGGTGTCGGGGTCAGGGGCGGGGAGGCACTAAAGAGCCCTGAGGCCTGTTCTGGAAGTTTTCACAGTAATGGGGTCATTTAAAGCAGCAGGGAAATAAAGGCAGAGGTGTGACTCTGGTGAGAAAGCGGAGCGGAGATATGAAGTATTGATGTGAGACACAAATCATGAAGGATTCACCTGCTTTTATTTTCTCAGGTACGGCTGCTACCTTGAGCTGCTGAAGGCGGACGCCACAAAGGACCTGACCTTATTGATGAAGCACATCAAGACCTTCTTGTCCACGCAAAGAATCACGTCATCATCACCACTCGGTATCCTTTATAGATGTGGTCTTCTTTGCCCACCAACTGTTTGAATTCGGGTTCTTTTAAATCATTATTTTCTAAATTACAGATAAAACAAAAAATCTATTTCTGACATAAACACTAGAATATACAATAAAGTTTTTTTTTCTAGCCATTTTAAATAACTCTTCTGTCTAAATAATGGTAATTTCAGCTTCCCGAGCAGCCTCTGTTAAGTGTTCAGGTTTAACTTTCCAATAATGCAGCTCTGAATCTAAACCTGTTCAACCGCCACTGATGGGATTGTAGATCTAAACCATTTCTCTGAACAGAAACCATCACAGATTAGATGTTTATTACCAAAAAGAGACGATGCTGAAAACTTTAAACCGAATAATCTTTTGAATTCTAACAAAACTAAATAAGATTTGTTTAATTTGTCATCTAATTGTTTCATTAATGCATACAAGAACAGATCAGGGCTTGAATTGGACCATTTTAATCAACATAACATGTAAAAAGCAGCAAACTGATCCAACTGGCCTGCAGATTCTGCTCAGCTTCACCAGAGTGTCTTCTACTCAGCATCTTCAGCTCTCTGGTGCTGATAACCCCACCCAGCCTCCAACAACACACCTTATCTCCCCATCAGTGTCTCAGCTCATCCTTCTTTTGTCCCAAATGGCAGCTGATGGGCTTCTTTCTTTCATAACAGAAGAACCAGAAACACAGAGAAAACAGATCCCCACAAGTCAAGAAGGAGGAAGTTTACTGCTCGAATAGAAAACCTAAAACAGCCATGTATATATATATATATATATATATATATATATATAGATAGTTATAGTTTTGCACACATGGCACGCTGGTTTATTAAAGCAAAGCGTGGGTGCAGAACTTCACCCAAACCCAAAGAACCAAAGGTCCTCAGAAGTCAGGAAGTGCTAAATAAATGACTACAGTCGGAGGAGGGGAGTTATTTAATTAGGAGCGTATTTTTTCTCCTCCCCGATGGTTGCTGTTTTATTTATAACTCCTTATTTAAAAATGACGTCTTGACAGAGAGCATTACAGATGGATGAGGCTCGCCCGTCAGTCGGATTCAGCTCCGATACTCAAACTGCAACAATACATCAGCGACCGGGCCGTTTTTGAAGATGGAGATGAAAAATCTGTTTCTGTTATTGACGCGGTAGAGAACGTGAAAGGTGGGATCTGATGGGCCTGAAAACAACAAACTAGCTGTTGGAACTCTGTTCATTTATGAATAGTGCCACCATTATTCAAAGTAATTTTATAAAAAACAGCATGTTAATAAATGCCAGATGAATAAAGCATGAGCTGGAGCAACGAGTCACAGTGACTCGTCACAATTAGGCAACCAGAATCTGTCCTCAAATGTACGTTTCTGACATTTTAACAACAGACGGCTCTCGCTGCGTTCGCAGCAGGCGCCGCAAACCCGCCGCCGGCTTTAAGAACAAGAACCTGATTTCAAGTTAAGATGTGTGAAAGAAACCAGACTCCTTTATGTTTAGATGAATGAATGAAAATCTAATCAACAAAAATAAGGTAATCTTTTACAAAAGCACTTCAAGTTCTTTCAGAACTACAAACATTTTTATTTCTCATTTTAGGAATATCATGGCTCGAATAATTAGTGGTACAAAATAAATAACGATTTAAGGTGGAATTGCAAGTAAAGAGTCTATAGCAGCTGGAGAGACGAGTGAATGGCCCGGGGCCGTTTCCTGGACTCCGTCCTGATTCTCCGCTCCACAGCTGGAATGTTGACATGAGCGTGGTAAACGGCCACCAGCGAGGGTTCAGTGAAATGATGAAAATGTCTTGAAGCACAATTCCTATTCCTGTCCCTAGTGGCGACTCTCAGTAACAGAGGATTTGGGTGTTTCTTTAACTCCGCCTACAGTCGGGCAGCAGCACGGGTATCTTGGTCACGACTGGCTGGCCTCCACCGTTTTTCTCATCATGGCAGGAAACACGGAGCGCTCCTGGAATCTGTTACTCGGCCTCTCCTCTCTGCTCACGTCTGCGTTCATCTGGCCCGCAAGGACACACGCATCTGTGAGTAACCTGTTCAGCCTGGAGGATCCAATCCTCCTCCAGCTCTGTGCCGTCCATCTAAACTTTAATTGGGTCACAAGACCTTGGACTGTAACATTAGAAAGCAGCTTTTTGGTATGTTTTACTGTTTTGGTGAATCGTTTTAGGTTTTATGTCGTTTTGAGATTTTTCAGGAAAAGTTGAGCCCAGTTGTAGGAAGACTGGAGTCACACGAGGTTAAAGAAGACGAGCACGGCTATGTTGTGATAAAATATTCACGTGTTCTCGTCCTCTGTAGTCGGTTAGTACTCAGTTACTCGACTGAACTCCTGCTTTCATGTCTGATGAAGAATCATCAGGTGTTATGAAAAAAAGCCAATAACGACGTATGAAGTAGCTCAGGTTGTGAGCACCAACTCCAGATGTTTCCTCTAAGTCAGTCTTCATTTTGTGACAGGTCCAGTTTCCTCAGGAAGTGGCTGAATCAGGGATGGGTCCGGTTTACTGGACCACTGCTCACTATGTGGAGATGCTGCTGAAAGCCGAGGTCCCTCTGGTCCATTCTGCCTTCAGGATGTCTGGATTCACTCCCTCACAGGTAACGTCTGGACCTCCACTCCCTCCAGGGTTCATGGTTGGAGAACTTTCCTTCTGAAGAAGTTTTTTTTATAGTGAAGTCATCTAATCAGAACCTCCCAGAACCTGTAACAGCCCATCAGAATCTCACCGTAAAAGAAACGCCTCTAATGAATGTAGCTGACTGGGCAGAGTAGGCTGAGGCTATACGCTAGTAAAAGTAGCAGTACTTAAATACGTTTTACTCAGGTAGAAGTGCCCATGAAAACATCTACTTTGATGTCAGGAAGAGACTAAAATCTTTACAGAAATACTTTGTTGTTATGACCCAGAAATGTAAAATGAAGACTAACCAGATCTGATGTTGGAAAAAAGACTAAAAAGTAGTTTTTACAAAGTCATTTCTTTTTGATCTTCACTCCTCTTAGATGAGGCTCTTCACCTCGAAGCTTTTGTGTTTTGATCCTGTGTCGACATTCTACAACGTACGGGGTTAACCTGCCGTCTCTAGGGCTCAGCGACACAGTCAGGTGTTTTATCTGACAGAGCAGCAGCTCACCTCCTCCTGAACAACACCTGGAGGACTTATGGAGTTTGGGTTAAGGACTTCAAACTTCATTAGCCAATTAAAAACCTTTATTATAGCGACAGGACTGTTTCCCTGCCTCTGATATTTAACAGTTCCTCCAAACCCTGGATACTTGCCGTGTTGTTTTGTCCTTGTAGGATGACTTCCTGGCTCCTCCCACTCAGGTTGGAGGTCTTTGTGGAGCTCTGAGGTTTTTGCAGGCGTTTGGAGTTTTCATTACAGAATAAACGTGCAGTAGAGGTGTCTGCTGTAGAGTTTATCACATTATCCACCAACAGGATCCACATTTCAATCAGGTCTCTCTGAGAGGCTCAGAGTTTCTCTCAGCGGGTCTCTCCTCAATTTACAAGTCAGGACTGTGAAGTGAGAGTCGCCACGGGCGAGTGGAGCCTCCGCTGTGGGTCAGATGGTGTAGGAGATACACATGGAGCCATCTGGGCTGAGAAGTGACAGGATTAGTTGTTCTTCCTCCTGTAGGGACTCAGGTGAGAGCTGACTGCTCTTGACCTTTTAGCCACGGTTCAACTCTTGCACATGTTTAAAAACATAACAGTTATATTTTACAGTCTAGGTGTTCAGTTAACACCTCCTGCTTGTTTATTTAATGAAGATGGATGATCAGAATCATTGAATTGTGACCTGGGCCCTCATTTATCAACCTTACTTACAAGCAGATCTGTGCTTATTTCGTGCGTGGGAACAATTTAACGCGTTGTGTGGTATTTACCGGTTTGTATGTGTGCATGAACATGTCTGACCGTGCGTAGGAACAGCCTCTAGTGGTAGAACAGGGGAACAGCAGTACTGGAGGTCTCAGTCACCCACAGATTATATTTACCCAGTATGTAGTTACGTCGGTGGAAAAACCAATAAGACACCTGTGACCGACGGGAGTCTGACATCATATCTGGGCTGTTCTGTGTTATTTGAGGATTTATCAGAACGTGTTCTCCACGAGCGCACTGATCTCAAAGCAAATCCTTCTGCTCTGCTGGGGTTCAGGACTATTTGTGGAGCACGAATGTGGATCCAGGGAACCCCCAGAAGCTCTTCTGTTCTCCGTTGCCAAGGTAACCAGACTAAATGGCCACTGTGAAGAGGCTTCAGTCTCGGACATTAACAAATAAAACTAACTCCAAACAGAGCCCGACGAAACAAATCCATCTTTAAAATTGTAATTCTGACGGGAACCTCTGCATCTTAGTTCTTTTGTGCTTTGGCAGCCACTGTTTCAATCTCGCTGTCAATAAAAGCTTTCATATTTTTGATTCCCTCACGAGCTGACGACGTAGCGTGACCAAATATGGTCAATTGAGGGTGTTTCTGACAGAACGATACGAGCACCTGGGTACGCACGGGTGGGATTTCAGACGATTGTGGAGGAACGTGCGTTTCATAAATCAGTCTTTTGACCGTTCGTACACATTCTAAATGTCGGTCGTAGGAGGGAATATAGGACAGTTTCAACGAACGTTTGATAAATGAGGGCCCAGGTGTCATGCTAATATGTCACGTGGATTATAAATCTGATTTATTGTAACATTTGTTGCTGCTGAGGTCTTCAAGTGTTCTCGGGGTACTCTGGATCCTCCTCAGTCTAATCAGTTATGTTGGGTAATTTTATTAATCCAGGATTCCCTTAGGGGGTTATAATAATCAATCGATCAACACCAATACCAATTCATAAACAATCAATTTAGACTTTGCAAAGTGGAGAGGAAAAGATACACACCAGACAACGGTCGCCATTTCACTCTCATCAGACAGAGTCCTCCGAAAGCATTTATTAAGCACACACACACAAAAGATTGACACACACACATTTTGACATTTCTTAGACTCTCAGGCAGAAAGCTGTAAAAAAGGGAGACTAAGCTTTCTCCAGGTGCACCCTAAATCAACAAAGCAGTTCCTGGACTTTCTCAAGGGAGTTTTACTGATAAAGGTCGGTTCCAAGGCTAGGTCATCCTCCTAAAACCTACTCCTCCCTGTAAGACCTGCGGGGGCCTGTTATCTATCAACCGAGTAAAATGAATTGATGAAGCTACGTTTAAAAAGACACCAGATATTTAACAGTCAAGGCATTAATATCAGTTCAATACTGTTAGTATCAGTTTTTATCTAACAGGTTGTCTCAGATTTAAACTGGTTTTAGAATGAGTTTGTTGGTTCGGTACCTGAAACGTGTTCCCAGAGATGCTCCAGAACACATTCTGTATGTTATGAGCTGACCTGGTCCAATATTATTATTGGCTCCTGAATGGGAGACCAAAAGGTCGGTCCCATCAAACGGGCGTGTTGTTTGTCAGCAGCACGGATTCAGTCGTTTCCTGTTTTTATGACAACACAAATTAGGATGTCAGGATTTTCATTAGAGCTCAGCTACAGAGGCTGCTGATGATTTAACGTGTTTATGGAGCGCGAGTGATGTGAGTGTGTGAGCTGGCTGGCTAATTAAGTAGAAGCAGGAGCTGTTTTGTTTGTTTGGGCGTGAACCTCGGTGGTGTTGTGGTGATCTGGGCTCCATCTTTGGATCAGAGTTGGACAAATGTCCTAAAGTCAGTGATTCCTCTCTGCAGTTCTGGCTCTTTTCACTCAGATTTTTGGTCATTAGAGGCAGAAGCAAATATTGTTTGTGTCCCCTAATCCCAGCTCAATATCACTGACTGCTGGTGTTTATTCTCCAACATCACACGGTGTGAATAGTTCTGAAGGTCTTAACAACTTTTATCTGATCCCAGATGTGCCTCCACTGGCTGACTCAGTGCTTCTGGAACTACCTGGACTGGACAGAGATCTGCCACTACATCTGTACCTGTGTGCTGATGGGTCCAGATTACCAGGTTTACCTGTGCGTGGCCGTGCTCAAACACCTGCAGCCAGACATCCTGCAGCACACTCAGTCACAGGAGCTGCAGGTCTTCCTGAAGGTCAGCCTCAGTCCGGCATGGTTTTATGTGAGTGAGATGTTTAACTGGATTGTCCTACAGGGTTACTCCTGTGGGACAAGAAGCTGCATTCATCTATTAGATTTACTGAAATTATGGTGAATCTTCTTGAATTAAAGGTCAGTGGTGCCCCGCCCTGGTCCTCTCTCCAGAAGGTTTCTCTACTTTTATTTAACCCTCCCCCGCGAGGAAAGTTGACCATTGAACAGGGTTGATGGTTTACCCCTTGAGGTCCAGGTGGCAGGGGTGAGGAGTGAGCACCACCTCACCCCTGCCACATGGACCTCAAGGGATAAACCATCAACCCTGCTCAATGGTCAACTTTCCTCACGGGGTCACCCATTAGGACAGTGGGAGGGTTAAATCAGGGGTGTTGGTGCACAGCCCCTGTAGAGGACCAGGGTGGGGCACCACTGCTCTACGTTCTGTTCAGGTTGATCTGTTTTGTTTTTACTGTCAATTAGAGAAAATCCACAATAAATCCAAACTTGTAGATGGTAAAATGATTCCACCAGGAGGAGGTCTTAGATGAAGAAACCATAGGAGCAGGTATGCCTAACTTTCATTCACAAGTTCTTCTCTGGATCTGAGACAAAAACATGAAGGAGCATGGATGTAGGAGGAGTTTATTGATGCATCATGACATCATCTTTGCAGCTAACAGCTCAGTCCTCAGAGGAAAGGCTAACACTAGCTTCATCACCTGGTGCTTAGAGTTCATCTGTTGACCTCAGCTCCTCAGATGGTCACAGGCTTATTAATGGAGCACAGATACATTGATGTTTAACTTCAGTATTATTAATCACACTGGAGTTGCTAGCGGTGGTGTGTCTGTTGTAGCAGCTAAAATCCTGAGGATGGGAGTCTGGTTTTGATTATTCTTTGATCAGAATGAGTTAAACTGATCTCAAACATTTTAAACTACAAGCTGAAACTTTTTTTTTCCCCCACATCTTGGTCATTTAAAGATTTCAGTACCTAGAGGGCCGGTATCCACATGTTCTCTGCTCCAGCGGTGGAACCACCTGCTGGATATTGGCCCTCCAGGCCTGGTCTACAGTCTTTAATACCAGTTTTGACTTTTACATTACAACCTGATTAGTTAAAAACATCTAAAGTGCATGAAACTGGGAAAAAAAACGTGTAAGAATTCTGCTTGTAGTTTAGAAGTTTGAACTTGTTCTGATGCAGAAATGATGGAAAATCCAGATGAGTCAGATTTGACCTCAGAATTTCTGCTGCAACAACAAAAACAAAACTATTTTTAAGTGACTTAATGAAGCATAATTTAAAAGAATAACAGAGACTGATGGAGGAACATATTCTGTACTTCCTGGTTCATGTGTGCAGGTAATCATATCAACTTATCTGTGCTCCATTGATAGGCCTATGACTTGATCTGTGAAGGTGAAGGACTTTACTGTGGCCCTCCTGGGCCACCGTCCTGCAACAAAACAGATCAATAACTTTTTTTGCAGAAGTCTGCTGATCTCAGATCTGGTGCGTTGAGATGTGTTCTCCTGTGGAAAACTGTCTCGCCTTCATGTTGCCTTGGTAACATGGGACAGTCCTACCCTATAAGTACCAGGATGTTCCACTGAGAACAAACATCTTGTAAGGTTTAATGTGTGTGAGGCTGTCTCTAACAGAGTTCTGTAGTTTTTACATCGACACAAAGGAGCTTTATTCACCTTCCCACCGTGCCTTACTCTCTGTGCTCCACCCAGACACCACCTGCTGCAGCATCAGGACCCATTTACCTCCACCATGAGCCGAGTAGGCTTATTTAAACAGTGACATGATGGTTTTTCACTAAATTAGTTTGACTGGCATCAGATTAAAGATATTTGTTGTTGGTTATTTATTAGCTGTTATTCACTATAAAGTAGAATGCGTTCATGGAAACAGCCGTGTTCCAGGTACCTGATGATAGCTTTTCCACGCACTACAAAAATGGACATTATGGCTTTCCCTTTATTACTGTGGGAAGTTCTGCTGGGATTACGGGACATTTTAGCTGGGAAGGTGACTAATCAGGCTTTAATAAAGATTAGCTCTGGAATAATTAGTTTTACTTCTTATCTCCTTTTGGGTGTTGCTGTTCCTGTCACACTAACAGTGGGGGCCTGTTACAGTAAACAACCTGGATGTTTCAGGAAGACTCCATCAGACAAGAACAATTATCTACTTGATATAGTCTAATTGTAGTAAAATAAGTCTGAACTTAAGGGGTCTGTGGCATTAACGTTGAAAACATCTGTTTGAGTCTTTATCTAAAGTTTCTCTAACGAGCTGTAGCTTCATCGCGCCTCCCTGGCTCCAACGGTTCTGCCTGCAAAGGAATCAAGTGAAATTTTTCACCCAGACGATGTGGTTTCTGTTCTTCTGCTTCATTCATCCCGTCTCCCTGGGGGTGCATCTATATTTCACCTAAATTAACATTTTAAAGGGGAAATGACTTGTTACAGTTGGTGTGAATCCAACCACAGTTACAATGAAGGTTTTATGTCCTCCACTGACCCAGAGGCCACGTCAAACCACCATGTTTTAGTCTGGACCACATGAGTAGTGTAAAGTAAAAGGAGACATTCTTATGCTAACGTGTTTATGTTTAGGTAAATATTAGACTCACTGTTAAGGGCAGGAGTATCTTTGCTAATCAACCATCTGTTTAACAGACAGGTTATATAAATATATTTAAATGATTGCTTTTAAATTAACAGCTTTAAAAACTAAATGATCAATGCAATAAGATAAATAACATGTTGGCCTGGTTTGTTTGAATCTTATTTCAGAAATGTGACAAAGCACGAACCAGACTCAGCTGCTGAAAACACTAAAACCATGAAGAAACTTAACCTTCCAATAAAAATGTTGGATGCTTATTTCATATTTGATGATAATAATATGTAGCGTACCAAAAGGTCAAGTATTTCTTCAAAATGACCAAAAACTTGCAGGCACAATCTGCGTCACACATCCTGTCTGTCTGGTCTCCAGACCATAAAGCTACAGCTCAGTGACCTTGTTATCTAATAAGGGAGCCATTATAAGTCCTTCCCCTAGCTCCCTTACGTTTGCTGGAACCCCAAGGTCTCATGCAGAAGACGAGACTCTTACTCTCTGAATAAAGTTTATCTTTCTCATCATAAAATCATCTCATTTGTTAAAATCCAAAGTTTTTGATTAATGTATTCCTATACTTTACATTAATCAATGATGGTTTTCGCTCTTTCTCGCGCTCTCTGATGGATTTTAATGTCTGGTTTATAGGTGATGCCAGGTATAAATGAAAATTAAATACTAGGGCAGAAACTCATCCTGCAAAGTTTGGAGTACTTTAGAGTTTTTCTTGCTCTAACGCACCTGATCCAACAGCTGATTGGAAGGTAGGGCTTCTGAAGGACCAGAGCTGGACACCACTGGTCTAGCGATGGGTTCAGCAGGAGGACATCATCTCCTTCATCTGCAAATGAATAGAAAACGGCATAGTTGGAGGGCAATTGTCAGCAGAAACAGGTCTAACATGAATGTATCAATGAAACTTGGTCAGATCTACATGTATTTAAGTAATTTATGGTTAACTTTCTGCAGTAAGACTAGAGTTTGTTTTCATTTCCTACATGTTGCTGTTTGGCCTCAAACTGATGACAGAAACCCATCGTCTTCAATCATCACAGCATAAACAAACACCCCACCTAAAATACTGTGATTAGTTTCTCCTCCACTCTCCGCCCATTCATCTTGTGATGACAACCTTACCAAAGATAGAAATCAACAGTAATTAACCTACCTAATGATCTCCTGAGTGCCAACGGGGATCGTTTATGTTTATCTTCTTGTGGGATGTTCTTCTGTAGCTAATTTCATCGTAATTCTGAGTAAAGACATGGATTAGTCTGAGTGATGAAGCTGGAGTTACGGTCTCACCATCACCAGCGTAAAACATCTAAATAGTCCCAGTGATGCTGTGTTGTCATGGTGATAACTGATGTTACTTGTTCCGTGGGGAGCGGGGATGGGTCACTCTAAATCAGGATTTCTGACACTTAGATGGAACCGAAACCAGTCTGAAACTCGTTTCTCTCTGCAGGAGGAGCCGATCTCGGGCTTCAGGTTCAGCAACTACCTGGAGTTCATGATGGGACTGGAGCGCCGCTACAGGGACCTGGTTCTGACCGACATGAGACACATCCAGAACCCCTCAGAGTAAAGGAACCTTTCATCCGTCTGTTCTTATATTCAGATACCAGGAGGAGAAATGTTCCATCTCATGTCCAGCAGACAGACGTGGGACAAAATAAAAGCCTCTAAACTAATAGATTTATGTCTAAATGAGACAATTTCACCCCAAATGAAGACAACAAGCTTCCACATCGCAACTATACAGAGTAAGTCCAGAACTATGAAAACTAGACCTGCTGTTTAACAGACTTGCAATAAAAGCTTCTGGTTTACGGAATAAAAGCATCATTAACTGATCAATGTGAGGTTGTACATTAAGTAAATATCAGCTGTTGTTGGATGTTTGCTGTCATCTTATACAGTCTGTAAATATATAACTTATGTTTAATAAAAAGAAATTTGATTTTAAACTTTGTTTTCTTTCAAGTGACAATGTGTAGTTTTTACCATCAATCTCTGGAGATATCCATCCACACATTGTTGTAAGATGTCCAGTTGTCCAGCAGAAAATATTGGGAGTTTCATAATTCTACCCACCAATCGGAGGCATGAATTTGAGTCGGTCTATCAGGCAGCAGTGGGTGTGTCTGCCCTGGTCAGCCTAAAGCAGACCACCCCAGGAAGAGGGCTGAAAAAGGCAGGCGATGCTAATGTGAGCACACTCTATGCTATCCAGGCAGAGTGGAGTTGATGCTAGTGTGAAAGGACCATAAGTCTCTGGGCGACGCCATATTGGAGGCTTGTTTACTTCAACGGAAGCCCGTGAGGACAAAACACATGTATTTATTTATTTGTAGCAAACGGTTACAAAACTTTCACCAATAATAAACATTGTTTTTACACATTTACGTCTTCACTTGTTGCCAGTGATGAAAGAGAATCTGATGTTGTTGTCACTTTGCTGGAGGTTGCACTCACAGGGATTTTTGACCCTAATGGCCAATCCTTTAGTAAGATCTTATCTGAACACAAAAATAATGCTTACTTGCAGTGATTTTAGGTATGTACTGCCCCAATCACCAGGAAAAATACACACTGTCACTTTAAGTTTAGTACATGCTGTAATCTAAAGCAGGAGCGGTTTTCTTTATTTAAAGTGAACTAGTTTAGAAAGCTGAGGCTCCAAATGTTGTTTAAAACTCATTCATGATCGTTTTGTTAATCAGGATAAAATCATAGATGAGATGATTTAAAAAATGCAATAATAATAATCAGATTTATTCTCTTCAGATGTGGTTTTAACCCTTAAAATCCCGCCGACAGAAGCTATTTAGGGTATTTTATTTATAATGCAAGATGCATTATAACTTTGTATTTGAAAGGATTTGTTCATGTTTTAGACAAAATGAGTAAAACATGCGCGACCTGCCAGTTTTAAAAACCAACATTTTACATGCTTCCACGTCCATCGGGATGGACTGCAGAGAACCAGAGGTGTAACCAGTCCTACACTGGTTTCCTGCACACATCATTAATTCCAGGTGTCGGCACAGCCTCTCCTGTTGTGTACTTATGGTCATTCCATGAAAGATGCATGAGGAGTGTTGTATTAATGCGATAAAGCCTCATTAGTAACCACAGCCTTATCTCCCGTCCTGTTGTCCTTCTGAGGCCTGAATAATAAACAAATCCATCTCAGCCGCTGGAGGAGGGAGACAGCAACTTGTCAAATGTTACCTCATGAAAACATCTCGTCTCACACAGCATTTAGCACTGACAATGTTTAGCATTTGGGTCACTCTGGGCTGAACTTTGATGCTCCTCTAATCAATCTGCTTCCTGTTTGCGGGCAGAAGTACTCGGAATGCTAAACACCACAAATAACATCTGACATTCTTGCCTTTTTGAGGCATAGCCGAGCAGATCGAGAGAAGCTGCTGCTAACGACCTGTTAGTGGAGCTTCTTGACCTTTTATAGTCTTAATTGACTTATAAACCCAATAAGTTCTTATAGCAAACAGTATTAAAGGTGTGGGTTACTTGTGTAATCAATACATTTGCAGTGGTCTCTAGAAGGAATGAGTGCCTTGCAGGCAGAACTCAGGGCTCTTTCCTGGCCGCTTCAGGAGCCAATCAAGTGCCTGAACTGGAGCATTTCATCAGAAACGGCCTGGTAAATTCACTGGGCGGTTAACTCGTGCTAATTGGTTGCAACTTGGTGGGAAATTAAATATCAGCTTTAGTAAAATTGGAAGAGCTGCAGATTAAATGTAAAAGAAAATAAGCTCACTGCTTTAAAATCGCTGTTTCTAAACTCCAAACACAAAATCTATCCACAGCGTTTCGTTGTCTCCTACAAGCAGCGTAAAAATCAGTGATTCTGTTGTTCACAGCGTACTTTGGCAAAATAACAAACTGAACATTAATAATGTCTATGGACGCCGTTTGGAGCTGATCGGTGACATCACCCACTGCCAAAACGGTCGTGACATGCCGACATCGTAGCAAAATCCTTAAAGGGCAGAGAGGACAGAGCCAGCGTGCTTCCTCTGGCACCTTCCCCCTCCAAGAAATTTCCTCTGAGCTCCTAAACTGGAAACGCGGCTTCATTCTAAAGTCTGACAACTCCTGGACTCAGATCTCTAGCACACAACATTTTCCTGCAGGCGGAGTTCCTCTGAACTAAACAGAAAGGATGGAAATCAAATTAAATGTACTTTATTTATCCGTTAGGAACCTTGTTCGCAGATAAGAGTGTCAGCATAGCCCATAACAACAGCATCAAAACACGCCTGAGGACTACAGTTGTACGTGCTGGTAAGTGACGGCTGCTCCTGACCGACGCTTTTACTGCTTATCCTGATCATTTTATTGAGCATGCTACACTGAGAAAGTGGGAGTGAACCAAAACAGGAATGTATTGATATATCGTTAAACGTGTTTAAAAGGTCACGATGCAGCAGTAACTTTTCTGGTGTAGTTGCAGGAAGCTACCAGCAGGGGGCATGGCCTGTTAGAGCTTCTCCCACAAAAACAACCGTTTCTCTGCTGCGTAACATTTTTATTTTTGTATCTCTGAACTCGAAGCACTCGAGCTTTACATTCTGCAACATTTATTTTAGCCTGAAAACAAAGAGCAATAATACGGTTTCCTCCAGATTAAGAGGAATGAGTGTGTCAAATAGAAGATGCAAACGCAAAAGCAAGGTTTGAAGCTGATTACTGGAGCAAACGGGAAACAAAATGATTTTCATCCTCACTGAAGACAAAAAGTTCACAAGAAGTGAACTAGATAGGTCTAATGCTGCTCCAGCCACATCCGAGTTCACAGTTTGATGTTTTTTGTTTGTTTGATCTCTGCAGCATCTTCCCTTTGACTGAATATTTACCGTCAAACTGTTGTCACAACGTGCTCCAGTTTTCAGACTGTGTGAAGATGGGGGGAGGGAGTCGGTGCTGATGGGACTGTGATCCGGCCCATATTAGATGTGTCTGTCAGCCGCTCACAACGTTTTCATCAGCTGAATCCACGTGGTGAGCTGTAGTCTGTCAGAGCTGCTGAGGAGAGGAGCTTTTTCCCCTCCTGCAGGAGAAAGCTGAGGCTCAACTTTGCTAATAGAAACTGGCGCTCCTAGCTGCTGCGTGCGGCACCTCTAGCTTACCAAACCCATCGTATAAACATCAGGGGACATGCAAGCTTTTTTAATATTGATGACAAAAGATGATTTGTCTGTTTGTGTTATTAAAAAGCCAGACAGGGACATGATGAAAGGAGCTGGTTGAACTAATCTTACTGATAAACTCACACCTTCCTACTGAAGTCCGTCTGATAATCAGGGAAGCAGGAGCGAGTCGCTGCTGACGGATTAAAACTCCACGAACATGGCGGACAGTTCAGTCCATGCATGGTGTGATCAGCTGGTTCAGAGTCCGCGCTGACAGACGATGGTGGAGCAGGACTCATGTTTAGGTCAGAATTTATAAAGATGTCATGTCTGTTTGAAGAACCCGATGGTCAGGTCAACAACCTGAGAGCACGGACCCATCCCATCCCCCGATTCACCAGATCCCAGTCCAGAACCTTTGGGATGTGGTGGAACGGGAGATTTACATCCTGGATTTAACGTTGTGAAGCTGCCGTGTCAGCATGGACCAAAACCTCCTGGAAGAACTGACCTTGACAGATCCATGACAAAATGATTTAAGGTAGTTCTGAAGGCTAATTTGAGTCCAAGTCAGGGGCGGCGTTAGGCCTGTCAACTTGGGCTCAAGCCCCGAATGTTTTATGAAAAGCCCCAGATCTAAAACGTGGAAGTATCATGCAGTACCAAAGTCCAACAGAGAGGGAGCAGCTGGCAGTAGTTTGTATACATATGGCAAGCCAAATGAGCATTTATTCTGATATCAGGATATCAGCCAGAATTGTCATGAACATGTAAGCCATTTCTGTCCACTAGTTAACTAGTTAGCCATGTTTGTGTCAACTAGTTAAAAAGTGACAGCCTAAATGTCAACTAGTTAACTAGTAAGGCCTAAATTCTCTCTAGTTAACTAGTTAAAATGTTTCATATCTTACTAGTTAACTAGTATTGCTCAGTGTGTTCACTAGTTAACTAGTGGACAGATCAATGTCCACTAGTTAACTAGTTAAAACACATTTAGTTTTTACTAGTCAACTAGTAAGGTACAAAAACTCGTACTAGCTGACTACTGAATGTAAAAATCCCACTTGTTAACTTTGCCCAATTTGGCCAGCCGCTTGAGCATTAATTCTGATATCTTGTCAACAGGTCAACTAGTTAACTAGTGAGGGTCAAACTGTACACGCTAGTTAACTAGTGAACACATTTTGACCTTCACTAGTTAACTAGTTGACACAAAAATGGCTCATTAGTTAACTAGTAAAGGCCAAAATGCATACCAGTCAGCTAGTTGAAGGTATTTGTGTCTCACTAGTTAACTAGTCAGGGTCAAAATGAGCCCACCAGTTAACTAGTGGGAGACGGAAATGTTCACTAGTTAACTAGTGAACACATTTTGGCTTCACTAGTTAACTAGGTGACACAAAATGGCTCACTAGTTAACTAGTAAAGGCCAAAATGCATACCAGTCAGCTAGTTGAAGGTTTTTGTGTCTCACTAGTTAACTAGTGATGGCCAAAATGTGCACACCAGTTAACTAGTGACAGAAGAAATGCCCACTAGTTGACTAGTGAACACATTTTGGCATCCTAGTTAACTAGGTGACACAAAAATGGCTCACTAGTTAACTAGTAAGGGCTAAAATGCATACCAGTCAGCTAGTTGAAGGTTTTTGTGTCTCACTAGTTAACTAGTGACAGTTCAAAGTGTCCACATGTTCACTAGTGAAGGCAAAACTCCTAACTAGTTAAGTAGTTGGAGTAGGGCAGTGCCACTAGTTAACTAGTGAACCATTAATGACTCACTAGCTAGCTAGTTGATTGTAGCAG